ACAGGACTTGAATGCCAGTGCATTTGTCTTTTTCTTTAGTTTGACTCCTATTAATATATGTAGGACACAAACACATTTTCTTCTCCTCTAATGAGAAAATTATGCTCCATTTCACACAATAAAATTTGTTTTAAAAAGTCACATCTTGGGATAAATCACACAGACAAGAAGTCACTCTTTAACAAATCGCAAGCCCCTGGTGCAAACCAATGGGCTGTTTAAAAGCTATCAAATAAGAAACTGACACTAATTTTAGCATGTGCAAAACACGTGTTCTTCCCTAGCTTCCTTGTATTAAAATCCTAATTCTTTAAACAAATCTAAGTAGCTAAGAGGCACCTTCTTCACAGTAACAGTATGACTGAGCACCTGCAAGAGTATAACCCCATGAATACAAACCACTGTGTACCACACAAAATAGGGAAAAAAGGGGAAAAAGTTGTCAATAAAGAAACTGAAACAGTTTTCAGAAACAAAAAATCATGCATTTGAAGTCCTGAAAACTTCCTTCCCTGTTGAAGGAAAATAATCCCAATGAGCAAAACATGGGCAGTTGAACTAAAATGATGGCATTTATACATACATTATTATCCCAGGAATGAATGACACTAATAGTTGGTTTCATAAAGACAATTATTAGCAAACTAACAAACTGCAAGCAGCAGCTAAGTAATGCTGCAGACTATTCTAGAGCTGAGCATGTTTTATTATTCAGCAACTGATAAACAGCAATCATGGCAATGACACTGACCCCAAGTCCACAGCTAGCAGCTGCTAGCTGGTATCTCAGCCACACAGGAAGGACAGGACAAGAAAATAAATCAGTATAGGTAAACTGGAGCTGCCCAAATACTTTGTGAATGCTCCACAGTGTCTGCCAAGTAAAGCGAGAAAGGGAACATAGGGATCAGAAAAACTAAAAGATAAAACCCACTAAACTGAAATGAGAACAAACTACTAGAATGGAAAAAGAGGATTTTGTAAAGAGAACAGAGGATGAAACAGTGCAAGACAAAGCATGCCACCTGCACTCTTCCACATCAATATAAAATTAGTAAACATGTTTTTGGTGGAGTCAGGGGTCTCCCTCAAACACACATGAAATATCCAACAAACTTGTACCAGGCCAATGCCTCAGAACTCAAGATAATCATCCAGCAACACAAATTGAACTCACAGGTATTTCTCCCAGGCCTGAAACCAGAGAACACAGATTTCAATCTTCCCTCAGGTTTCTGCTATTGCTGTAGACTACACAGCTTTACCACCTCATACACCACCTGGTACACATCCTCTAGTAGCATCCAAACATTAATCTCCATATTAGAGGATCTGAAACACTGGAACATCCAGTAGAGATGAAAAACCTCACACTTCCTAAAAAGTGTCACCTGGCAGCCTTTGAGAATGAATGTTAACCTTATCCATTTGTGTAGGTGTGAATATGAAGTCACTTCCACATGCTCATGAACAAAACAAGCTATAATCTCTAAAAGGAAACAGCTTCAAGTAAATATAAAGGGTCATTATCAAAATACACAATCACAGGGAGGGAATTAAGACTTTTGATTCAAATCTGATCTTAAATGCCAAAATTAGATCTAAAAAATAACTTTTTGAAAGTTGGGGAATGTTTTCTTCCGTTTTCATTTAACACTATTAACATTTTGTACTAAAAATAGCATTTTGTTGATGTTACTTAAGTGGTAGGAATAGTAATATAGAAAAATAAATAGAGAATAGCCAGAAATGAAGTTTTCTTTGTTAACTGCTACAGGGTTTATGTGACAAATGGACCAAATTCTCTTTTTATACAACCACAACGGCAATGGCAACACTGGCTACAAAATTTTGTATTTTCTTCTTCAACTGATATTTCATCCATTTTGTGGTTTCAATTAAAAGATGATTGCAATGCATGCTCTGTTCTGAGCTGCATTTGAAAGCTGGAAGGAGTCTACAACTGTCAGAACTACCTGGATACTGGCTGTATCCATCCTTCTCTCACCGTAAGACTTACAGCTCCTAGTGCAAAGTGTATGTTTATTCCCAGTGCAATTCCCAGAGCAGCAGAAGCAATTAACAGATTATCTTCAAGGTAAAGTCACTACTTTAGGCATCTGCTTTCTCTTAAGTGGCCGCTACTTGGCGACTTTCAAGCAGCAGATACATTTGTTGGGGTATTTTAAGAAGGTTATAACCACCAGGCAGATTTTTTTATGCAACTGGGGAACAGGTGGTAATGACACAACCACTTGCTTAGTACATAAAGTCTGAAAAAACCACAGATGTTGTCAGCAATCATTGTTGAGAGCTCAGCCACACTGATGGACACAGTATAAGCTGATAATTTTCATTTCATGTGGAATATATTTGAGCTACAAGTGCGCGTATGAAAAGGTAACTTGAAATTTGACAAGGAAGAGTTCTATTTTAGAACTACTAATTACTAGCAAACGAAGCCAGTTAAATAAAGATTAAAGCCTGTTTGGCATGATCTTGTAATGAATAAAATTATCAGAACTCAGTAAGTCTTTTTAAGGGTTTCGCTGTATCTGTGAATCTACTTGAGACTCAACCAGAGCAGAGTTTCAGTTCTGGGTAACAAGATTTCTGAGAAAAATCAGGAGGAAGGAACAAGAAACACAGGGCACATTATTCTAGGGTAACACTTGTGTTACAGTTCCCTCTACTGGAAATATTTGGTATAGATTGTTACACAATAGTCTAGAAAAAATTCTTCTAAGAAATGCAAAATAAATTAAAAACACATGGAAAAGATAGTCTGCGTCATGGCTTTTATTCACTCATACTTAGTCTGCCACTGGAGGTTGAGAAAGCATCTTTCACAGAAGAGTACGTGCTGCAAATCAAGTATAACCACTGACAACATTTAGACCTTGGTTATCAGGCAAATCAGTTTCAACATTATTTCACATGCTGTGTGAACAGCCTTATTAATTTAGGGGAAGGGACCTTAAACTGTGAACCAAAAACATCCAACAACTTGCCTCGGGTGACATGGAATAATCCCATTTTAGCATGGGCTTTCCAAATCAGAACTGCACAGAGAAGCACCCAGAGGTGACCAGCTGGGAGTTTGCTGTGCTCTGTGTTTCAAACTCCCACCCCACCGCTCCAGAGCATGAAGTGCTTATCTAAGGCTGCAAGTAATGAGCTCAACATCAAGACCCAGAGACAAGGATTTATAACCATCATTTCGAAGAACTGAATGTTCACCGTCTTCTCTCACAATAAGCTCTTCATTTGCAGCTTTCTTTCTATCTCAGTTTTAAAATAACTAGTCATGGTTTTACTTTTTAGTTTCCCCAGACAGTTCCAAAATAATTAACATATATGTCCTCTGTAACAAAGCTTCAAGAGAAGAAAGAAAACTCAGCTTCTCTGCAGTGTTCCCCATGCTCCTCACTAATTAATTAATAAAAGATTTTGCCATCCCTGTCCCTCTTCTCTTACTGTCCCCCCTTGAAGAAAGAGGACAGCAATACCATCATGCTATCCTGGTTTGATACTCACATCTGCGGCCATGGCTATGTGACTCTGCGCATAACATTGGAGATGTCGTGTTTGAACTCTACGACTAGAATATATCTGGAATTTTAAAAAAAAAAAGGACAAAAAATGAGCAGAAAAGCTTGTTTCACCACCTGAGGTTTTTGCAAGCTTGTCACATGAGTTTAGATTCCTTATGTCTTCAAACTGCAGGTTATGTTGATCTGAACTACTGACTTCTCAAAAAACACAATTTAAAACCCAAAGTTTGGTAAACTTGGTTTATCTTGATCAGTATCACGAACACTTCCCTTGACAGAAGTAACAGCTTCTCTACTACAGACACATTTTACTCAGCTCTAATTGGAACAATGTTAACACATTGAAGTGTCATTCCCAGGCAATATCAGACAGGAGATTTTTACCTACAAATGGAATTTTCTTGTAATTTTACACCATCTTCTGAATTTCCACCCACTACTTTAACACATGTGGACTCAGAGCATGTTACATCCAAATACTCTTCATTTAATGGATTTTCTTAGTGCTCACAGATTTCAAATGTCTCTGAACAAGTTTATATGTGATTTATGAAATACAAACAGTAAAATAATAGTATTGATAACAACATTATACAATAAAAACACTTTCAGGAAACAAGAAACACTCTAACAACCCAAGTCTTGTATTATTCAGTGTCTTCGTAGGGAAATCAAATTATCTGGTACGTCAGAGTTTCCCACTTAAGATGTCTGTAATACTGATTGTGGAACTTCTTTTACAGCCATAAAATACTTATTAACTTTTGAAACAATACTTGGTTACTGCCCTAATTTAACAGCTATTTTGGCATCCCTGCTCATAAGGAATGAATTATTTAAGAGAAGTACCAATTTATCTAAATTGAAAATGTGTGACAATTAAGTTTTTGTGTAGCCATTTACAGTCATTTTTAATATGCAATTATGAAGAAAATGCCTTAGTGTGCATTAAGAATCTCTTTAGAAATGCTACGGATATAGAAGCAAAAAAACTCTGTAAACAAAGAAAAAAAATAGCCTTTCAACCACTTTTAATTGATTCTTATAATCAGAATATTTAGAAACAAAGTCCTACTCACAGAGAGAAGGTACTTCAGGAAACTACTATGGTTTGGATAGATCAATCCAACATTCCAAAGAGTCTGACTCTCATTTTAAACATTTGCAAACAAAACAAATTGCCTAGTGCTTATACTGCTGTCTGTAATACACTTGTGAGCCTCTAAATTATTTCAAAATCAAAGCATCCTCCTAGAAAACTGGAAGAGAAACTAACCTGAGGACACCTGAAATGGTTTAACAGCAGCAGCATGGGTGTGAGGGCACGTACAGAACAGCTGACCAAAGTGCTCTGAACTGCCTGTGCTTGAACTAAAAGATTGATGCTTTTCACTTGCAGATAAACACTTCAGTTATCAGTACATTTTTCTACGTTTTTACAAATACCTCAGGAACTGCAACTCCCATTAGGAGAGGTACAGATACATATCCACCTTCCTGGGGAATTCCTACTGGCTCATGGAAAACTTCAGATTGCTGCAGATACCCGAGTGGAAGTGAATTAGTAAGAGATTGAAAAAAACCACATTGTTTTAATAAATTACATTATTGAAGCACTATAAATACCAAAATTTATTCTACAGTCTTCTTTGCTGCATATAAACAAAGATAATGCTTTAATAAAAAGTGTCAAATTAATCTTTGATAACCTAAAGAAATGCAGGGAGAGGGAAGGAGGTAGAAAGGTCAGGTAGTATGACAAAGCAGCAACTTAATTTTTACACAGTTTTCAGATTTACATTTTTGAGAACATTGTTAGAGAAATGTTCGGACTTCTAAAATTGACTTCTAAAATCTCAAGATCACAGAAACATACTGCAGTTCTCTTGCAAAAGTGTTACACTAGAAAAACAATTATTTTTGTTTTACAATAATCCCCCAGTACTTCTGTATTTCAGCACCTCCATTTCAAAGCAGCAAACTGATCTGTTAGTGTGGAAGGGCCTATAATCTGACAAGGCTGGCTGCTACCAAGGTTAGGAGGCCACACTATAGCGGTTCAAGCTTAAGGGCCCTGGTCCTTCTGTCAGCTTCAAACTCTTCACATTTCTTGAGTGTCAAGATTCCCACATTAAGCTGCTCTGCTAAAGAGATCACAAAATGGACACATTCTACCCCCAAATCAGCAATTCCAAGGCCCTGGGTCTAATTTCACTTCACCTCTGTCTACATGCTTCTGCACGAATATTGTTATATTCCTATGAAACACCAGGTATTATCAGTTAATTAGCTAGTTAATACTAATTTCTCCTATCAGGTAAAATATAGCAGGTTTTACTTGCTTCTGAGAACTTAGTGGGTAATTGGAGACAAACCTTTTGCCAGAAGGTGAGAGGAGGGGAAGATGCTTTCTTTATGGGTATTTGATGTTTCAAGAGGTGCTGTTTTATGCCTTCCATTGTATCAGCATGTGCTGTAAATGCACTGCTAAAATACAGCAATTAATGCTCATTTCAGTAACAGTGTTGTGAGTACTTAGCACATGTCCTGTTGGATGAGCACACCATACCTTTACACTAGGGGGCAAGGAATAGTAAAATGCTGCAACTATCAACTGCACTCACCTGCAGAACAGGCCACTGCGACTGACTTGGAAGAAACTGTGCTGGTCCCTAAAGTCAAACACAACAAGTATTATTTACGTGATTAAGAACATATGCATACACATAAAATACTAGAATTCCTAACACACTCGAATCAAAACCATCTCAAATCTACAATCAATTCTTATCTAAAAGAATAAATATGACTTTCATTCAGTCCCAAATAATTCAGGAACATGGTTTTGTCTCTGACTTGGCCATTTCATAAGCTTCATAAAGACTTAAGTCAAATTCTCACCAGAGGTGTTCAGAGCACAAGGATCCATGGATCCAAGATAGAACACTGAAAATGTTGCAGTTGTAAGGAAAAAAGTCTATTACCATGAGAAGGGTCAAGTATTGGAAGAGGCTATCCAGAGCAGTTGTGAAATCTCCATCACTGGAGCTACTTAAAGTCCACCTGGACAAGTTCCCAAGAAAACTAATCTAACCAGCTCTGCTTTGAGCAGGAGTTTGGCTTAGATGATAAAAGGATGCTACTAAGCCAGTTGCAACACAAAAAGAAACTGATTTATTACATTTTCATGTAGTTAAATAAGCAGAATAAGCTGCACCTAGTGAAAAGAAAGTCTTGAAATTAAAACATTCTTTATATGACTTTTACTAACAGTCACTTTATTTCCTAAGAACAACAAGACCTGGGACAGTGCTTGCAAACCATACTGCACTGCTGAAGTTTGAAAACTCTTTCCAAACAGACACCTGATAGTGGTAGGTAGGAGACTGATACACTGGTGCAGAGACCATCACAGGTGGACTGGAAACCTGGTGGGATGGCAAAAGACAGAGTTAAAAGTGGTAATGCAGCAATTCCCGTTTACACTTAACATTCACCAAAACCACTGGTTCCAAGGGCCTACCTTAGGAGTGCCAAAATCAACATAAGAATCCATTCCAGCCCTCATTTCTGGTTAGGGAAACTTGTTTTATTTATTAGTAATCCTTCTATGGAGTTTTTCGCCTCAGTAGGTGAAGGGATTTTCCACTCATATATAGTGATACATGAACAGCTTCTGTGAATGCTGCTTTTACAAAAATCAGTAAGGATCTCCTCTGTGAGTCTTATGCTTTATGCAGACCCCATCAGACTTGCAGTACTTCCCTCTCATGAAAAAGCCTGAAGTGACTGACAGCTCCTTTCTGTATGTCCCAAGAAATTCCATCCAAGTTCCCTAAGTCTGCTAAAGCCAAACAATTAATCTATTGAATTATCTTCCTCCCAAAACAGCCAGCACGCTTGAAAACGTATTGTAAATGACTATGAAATCACCCAATTTCACTTTTGCTTCTTGCAGTACTTCCCTCTCATGAAAAAGCCTGAAGTGACTGACAGCTCCTTTCTGTATGTCCCAAGAAATTCCATCCAAGTTCCCTAAGTCTGCTAAAGCCAAACAATTAATCTATTGAATTATCTTCCTCCCAAAACAGCCAGCACGCTTGAAAACGTATTGTAAATGACTATGAAATCACCCAATTTCACTTTTGCTTATCTAGTTTTTTTCCCTCCTCAGTGCAATGGTTTGCAGCCAAGAACACCTCACTCACATGAGAGCAATAAATTATGCTGATCAAGGATCATAAGCACCAAGAACAAAACTAGTCCTGGGGTAAGACACAGACTAATTATGAAGTACTCTGTCCAACAGGTCACACCAAAGCAAAAAATCTCCTGCAGAGGCAAAATAAACTGAAGTGCTATTTAAATAAACCACAAAATAAACAGACTAATATAAGGAAGGCATTTCAGCATCTAACATGAGGCACAGCAGAAGAAACTGACAGCAGGGGGAACCTGAAAACACTGCATTTGTCCTGGCCCATAGAAAAGCATACATACCAATAAATTACTTACTGGCAGAACAGGAGAAACCACAGTTGTATGAAAATAAGCCACTCCATTATAGAAAACATAGGGATATCCACTTGAAGTAAACTGCACTGTAGCAGCTTCTGGGGTTACAGCAGAACCTGGAATTCATACGTTTAAGCCTACTTTCAAATACTTATTTTTGCTTAAAATGTGTACATCAAGGAAAAAAAAAGGGAAGAGAATTTCTGATCTTCAAAGAAAGCAAACACTCAAACATGGCACAGTGTGCCTACTGCCATCTCAATTCCCTCCCCAACATAACATATCATATGCAGTCACAGGATGTCTCCAGAGGTGGATGGGAAGGGCTGCAGAAGATGACATGCAAATAAATTACCACAGACCACTCCAGTTACCAACATATAAATATATTTTTCATCCCTAAATGTCCAAAAGATAACATTTTTTCCTAACTCTTGTAGAAGGTACCAGAGGACAAACACTGAAGCAAAGTTACAAAGTACACTTCATTCCCTGTTGCACCTACAAAATAAATCTATTTTACATCTCTGACACACAGCCCTTGCTGAGGAGTACCTCACAGATCTTGTCTTAAAAGCTGGTCACTTATATCCTATTTTCGCTATCCATTCAGTATCTTACAGCAAAGAACACTTAAGAATAGAACGGTGACTGCAACCACCCATTCCTTATGGTTTCCACCAAAGAACACAAGGTACAACAGTCCTGATGGATTTCGACAACATACATCAGTGAGTAACAACACGACTAACCAGCACTGCTATACCCTGCAGAACCTGTGAGGACACTCTTAAATGCTTAGATTTCAGGTTCTGGTAGGCAACTTACATTTCCATTCAGTTTCTTCCTAGACAGGTAAGCTTTTCCAAAGAAGCAAGCAATCAAGATATTGAAAGAAAAGAACCAAAACCCCATAAATATATTTATTTGGACCAGGTACATCTTGGTTAAAACCTGATATTCATAGTGACATATACTACACAAATGTAAGTAAAAATACTTACAAGTAGTAGACCTCTGTACTTCTTTTCTTACTGCTGGAGCACTAGTCAATTTCTTACCCTTATACCTGACTTCAGCCTAGAATTACAGAAAGAAATTATTTTCTACACAGATTTAGGCATCTGAGAAGTTAAAGGTGAAGTAGACTAGGCACTTAGGTTTCACCTTCCCCTATTTTTCATTTATAGTGTATTGCAAAAAAACCCCAAAGCTATACTATACGTTTTCAATCCTAACCTTAGGCTTCACATTACAAAATTAATCACTAGCAATTTTAAGCATTACTTACTCCTCATGGAGCCTCTCGATTCACAACTGGTACCTCTAACTGTCAGCAGATTGTTTCCATTTTATCTCTATTTACTGCTTTTAAAAAAGCACATGTGCACACAATTGGACAACTACAAGTCTAAAGATTTTTTTTTTATGAACATGACAGTATTTTACAAAAGGCAAGAAAAAAAAAGACTATGAAAATATCCAAATTTTAAGAACTGAATGTAAAAAATGCCCATATTCACTCAGGACTGCCTTAAAACATACCTATGGGCTATTAGAACAGAGAGCAACTCCTAGAAAGCAGATTGCATATCAGTACACCAATAGGAAGATTATTCTTCCCAGTGCAGTGTATTTTACTCATGTGATTCATCACAAATCAGAGTTATACACAACTTTCACAGTTGAGAGAAGTATCTGTACAGACTTCTCCAAAGCAAGAACACAGCACCGCAGGAAAAATGACACATGATGCTACAGAAAATGAAGACTAATAGGAAAAACTGTGATGAATAACAAATTACTTCAGAAAGAAGGGAAGAGTTAGCTCCAGGAGTGTTCTCAACACTAATGCAATTTAATACTTCAGAAGACTGCAACACAAATTTCTGGAGTCTTTAGAACAGCAGAATACAAAATAAAAGTGCAAAGGATGATAAACAAGAGGAAATCCAAGAGTACGAAATGAAAAGCATCCATTTCATATGTAAGTTAATGCCTAGAAACTCTCACCTTAAGATGGAGAAGGACCTACATGCTACATGATCTTCAGATTAATATGCAATAGCAGAACTATGCAAAGATGAAAAAGGTGATACAACTGTAGAACACCTAAGTTAAAGGACTTAAGAGTAGACAAAAAAGCATTAGTATTGTTCAATGTGACACGAGACATTTCAGATGGAGCAGCCTTTCAGTTATAACAGAAGCAGAAGTCCTAAGCCATTTTCATGATGGTACTCAGCACCATTGCTGCTCTAGTTGACAGCAACAAATAAATAAAACAGTGGAAAAAAAGCAGCTGCCTCAAGAAGTTTGTCTGTATAGTCTTCTGGCTCCACATAACAGTATTTTTTCTGAAACATTCTGAAAATTTTTTAGAAAACATCTTGGGTCTTATTTTTAAATTTAAATTTTAAAAGCAAAAATTTCCAGCAAAGGTTCAATATCTCAGTATGTTAACCAGCTTTACAATTGTGAGAAGGCAATTTGCAAGGCTTGGACACCGCTTTCTCCTTTCTGTTTTTTCCCTGCACCTGGATACCCACACAGGTAAGAGTAAATCCTGACTGACAGATCTCTCCAATACATTCCCACCAAAACATGGCACCACTCAATCAACAAAACAAAATGAACTGAAGAGACAACATACTGCTTAGAGCTAACCGTGTCTCAAGGGAGGCTCTACGAGTGTCAAGAGAATAACATAGCTAAGAGAAGAAGCAAAAATTACACGACATGAGCTTCATCATTTAAAGCTTTAAAGGAACCTAATTGTTCCTAAGAAGAATTAGGTTTGACAAACAAACATGTCAGAGTAAAAGACAGCAGTTACCTTCCCAATTCCCCACAAAAATCCTGAGAGCAGTGCATTTCCTAGTCAAGCAAATGAAAGCAGTTGTGAAGGAGAGGGTCTTTATAACTCCGTATGTACTGTAAACCGTACACACACTAAGAAAATGTTGGGAAAGGTGAAGGTTCCGTGCGGGGAAGCAAGCGGCCGACTCCATCTGGGTGATACAGCAAGCTCCAACTTCATTGTCTGACAGGCTCTTTCTTATACAGTGCAGGCCAGGCATATAACTATCAATCATTCATAATTGGCTAAGCTCTAGAGACAGCATTCAGGTACTCTCCCTACTTGCAGCTGCAGCTGTGAGGATTATCTCTTGCTTTCCCAGGCTTGGGTGCATTCCTAGCTGTTTGTCTCAAACTTATTTGTCTCACCCTCAAGGACTAGTTACCCCTGCCATCTGCCCAGCTGAATTACTCCCTATCTATATATAAGTTACTATCTCCAGAGCCTTCCTTGTACACTGCATTCCCAGGTGCGTTCCCAGGACTGTGTCCGTGTGTTCCCAGGGGACTGTGTCCTTGCTCTTTCTAGCCTTCCCCAGGTGCATACCCAGGATCATGTCCTGCCATTCTCCAACAAGAAAATAAAGACTGGATGTCAAAGTCAAGAGCAGTACTATGAACTGGCAACTCCTTTCCCTGGTTCCAGACGTTCTCAGTGTAAATCTTATCTTCGATGTCTCTAAACCATTTTCCTGACTCCCAGACCAAACTCTGATCAGATACTCGAATGCAACTTGGCAAACACAGGACCAGACGACCAGAGTTATGCAGTGTCTAATATGAAATTAAGTATTTCATTTAAGAGATAAACACAGTGGGGACTATCACTTACATATTGTAGAATCCTCTCTGCATCTTCTTGAGTTTCAAAAGTAATGAAGCCATACCTAAATAAAAATTAACATAAGCTAAGCCTCCAAAGTTCATATTTACAGACACTGCACGCTGTTACTTGATATATAGTACTAGTGACCTTGCCAGGTAAACTAATGAGTAAAAAAAACAAATCGTGGAAGTAAAGATTGCAGTAACAACTATATTCTTAACATCTTTCTCACTGTATTTAAGTATGTGGTAATATATCAGTGTGAATGAGCAGCCCATGTAGAAAGCTATCCTTGTTACTCAGTGTATGTATGTCTTTAGCTCCTTCATTGTATTTATCAGAGCTTTTGATCTGAAGATTTCACTTGCTACGGGTGACCAAGAAGACACGCTTGGGATGGTTTTAATTATTGTTACTACACTGTGCTTCACAGCACAGTTCACACCTCCTCCAGCAAACACTGAATGCTGCACACTTTCACAAGCACTATTCACTATACTGAGTTCTCAGAAGAAGCAGCATTGCAGTCTTGTAATTCTTCACATGACTGGCATTAAGAGAATTCTGTGGTGATCAAGGATGAAGCAATTCTCACACTGTGACATAGTATGTCTTTCACCATACCTCTAACTGCTGCAATAAAGCAAACAGGCTTCCCAATCTAGGCCACTGAATGTGTCGCTGCCTGTACAAAGTGTCTGATCATATATAACACATGTAAAAAGAATGGAGCCCCCAATTACATATGACTTTCTGCATTTCAACAAATCCTTTTTTGAAAACTTTAAGTGTTTTTGTATACGTCACTTGTTACGTTCACATCAGGGCCAGATTTCAAAACATGTCAAGACTGCCTCTATCATTCCAGTCAGCAGATCACATTTTGCAATACAAGGTATCATTCTCTGTGAGCATTTCCATGCTTATTTGAGAGGTTCAGCAAGTTTCTGACCACCTGTACATTTTAATTTGTGGGCTTTTCTTATATTGCCTTCTCTAAACAAATCTGGAACACAAACTCTTTTCCGACTTGGGACCATACCTACAAAGACTTTTTATTCTATGTACTGTCTGGCCAATAAACCAAGAGACATAATCAAACTTGTATGGTTTTTAAATCACTTGCCAATGAGAAGCAATGAAGCCTGTGCGAAATCCCAACACCACGTAAAGTCATTATTTTCCAGCATATTTACTGTACACATAGGCTGGCAATCACAACTGCATAATAACTATGGGTTATGTGGACACATGTACTCTAAGTCTCAGGTATTTCTTGGGAGTTAGTGAAAGAGCAAGAGGCATGGCGATGGATCTGGGACCAGGACCAAGTCCAACATGTCATGCAAGTGCACACACTGTGCTAAGACCTGCAGCTCAGCATGTAACTAGCTGATAGGTGTTAAGCTCTGACAGCATTGAGAGGCTTAGGTACAAATTCTCAGGCACATTCCTTTTTGCCCTCTTTCTACCCTCCTGTGGCAGTACTCTTCCCCACCTTATGTACATCACCATCTTTTGGGTTCTAGCAATAACTTTACTATGCAATCTTACTCTTTATCCAGACTTGTTCTTTGGCATTTCTCTTACTGGCAACTTCCAGTCTTATTCCCCTTTTCTGTAATCATGACTGTCAGATTCATCCCCTAAGCTCTTGTTCCAACAATCTACACTCAATCTCAGTTACTGCCATGCACTTCAGCACAATCAGGTGTACCTCACCTCTTCCTCCAGTTCAGGCTCCTTTCTGCTAGTTTTCAGTAACAGAAATACACATACTTAATAATTAAATTACCTTCTTAGGATAATTTATTTTGAAATTTATTGTCATTAGAAAATGTGAAAGGACTATAGATTTTGTCCTAGACGTACACAGTTTTATCTTATCTACAGACTTTTAGTTACGCAAATTACAGAGAC